TACTTTAGCTGTGATGTTCGAGGTTTAGGAGTCGTAGTTGACAGTTTAAACAAGGCGTTGTCCACTCACAGCTGCACATAAATGTAGCGCCTTATGCCAGTGCAGGATATTCCGTGGAGTTAATGTTTTTTTCACGAGCGCGTTTTGCCCTAAACGCATTTTAGTCGGCTGCAAAATGGTGAGGAAGCTAGGTAAACGCACCGTCATGCTGCGCTGACTCGGCTTCATAACAGAACCAGAGGTGCATTAAAGGCAGACCACTTAGACAGACGCACCTAGCGTCGCAGAAGACTAAACGTTAGGTGTTTCTCACTTAATAATATACTGTTATTTCCATAAATAGATAATGCTATAAATAGATAAATAGGTATTTTCGAGATAAAAACAAGCATGTTTTTTTTTTCAAGCGTTCTAAAAAATACTTCATTAAATCTTGATGCCAAATCTGGAACGCAATGGCAGAGCAGTGCATACCTTGGTGGTTAAATTTGCTCAGGTTTCACTTTTGTTGCCTCATAACGAAAACCTTTTGCAATAAAATTCGCGCACAAATAAATGGAGTAAGTAATAATGAAATGTAAGTTCATATCACTTTGTTTTGCACTCGGAAAAAAAGTGTTGCTAATCTCAAGAATGTAATCCATCCGAAGCAGATCCAAAGCCTGTAGCTCCAGATCCAATTCCCATGGGGGTGCAAGCGCCGCTAAAGGAGCCTGCATAGACACTACCGCCAGATTCCCCTCTAGGTATTATTGTATGAAACTTTATGAAGTAACCGTAGAATGAATTCACAGGAAGAGCTTATTGCCTCACAAATTCAACGCCGCAAAAATTTGAGAACCCGTCCAGTGCGAGTAAAGTTGCAGATTTGTCGCATGCTGCCGTTGCATTCTCTCTTCTCTTGCCCCGACGAAAGTGCTGGAAGCTAAGCAGGGAGGGATAGCAGGGGCAAAAAAAGAAGTAACGCACGTCTCATGACCTTTGAATGCAGGGCTCTTTCAGTGAGATCGCGCGTGCAAGCGTGGGCAAGTCGCAGCCTTGTTCGACGACATGTCCATGCCGACTTGTCCAACGACCAAGAGCGTTATGTTCAAATCGGCCAATGGCTGATATATGCGCTAAATATGAGAGATTTTTGAGCGTCCTCCGTCATTTGTTGGGATAAGAGAAAGCAATTTTCAGCTGACTTTCATAATTTATTGTGAATTCGAGGCCGCGTGCTGCGCTAAAATATGTGGCGTGTTGTCCGGAGCCTCTACTACTGATCCGCAGCGTTTTCTGACCCATGCTCAAAAAGTGTTGCAGGTCCCCTTTAAGTGGGACCTGCAACACTTTGTGGTGGGCGGTATTGGCTGTGCCTGAGAGTGTCTCCGGTGGATGCGACGACCCACCTTGCTTGGCTGTTTAATACCCTGGTGGTTGACCTTGTCTGTGTTGTTGCGGCGACAGCACACTTAGCAGCCTATTCAGTTGCTACAGTTTGCGGTGCTGGTCTTCATTCATGTCTGCATGCTGGGCAGGCCAATAGCTGCAGAGGGAAGAATATGAACTAGCACAGACAAGCTGCAGAGCACGGTTCTCACTCGATGTAGTAGTGTCTGTGTTGCTGTCACCGCAGTCCTTAGTTTAGGTTCGCGGGTATCTAGTGGCTTCGTATTATGTCCAAACACGTGAATGCTAGCGTAGCTGCGCTCTATGCCGAAGTTATTGCAGTTTTCCGACTGCATTTTGCTGCTTTTGGTGAGATGTTCACTGTCTGACCGGTCAGCGGCGGATTTCACAATGGGGAGAGCCACTTCTTGTGCTCAGCGCAGTGCTCAGGTGGTATTAATGGGCATCAAAATAGACTACTTGACATTTTCATTCTTGCACGTGGGACTGCCGGAATAGCCAATGATGATTCCTTTGATCTAGGGTGCAAGTTTCTCGGAAGGGCCAATGTTGGCTATGTCCGTTTGGGACACATTGATAGCCTTCGTGGTGGTTTTTTCAGTGAAATATTTGCACTCTCGACCAGTGACTGCTGTGAAGCTCGCCGTACTGTGTCTGGCGGCCGAGTTGGCTGCAGTGAAGCCAGCTTACTCATTGTTCACAGAAGGTGCTTTTGGTATCCGGAGGCAGTTGCAGCTGCGGTCTGTCGACTTGGTACATTTTGGCCGATGGGTTACTAGCAGTCATGCGGCTGATGGCGACTCCAGTGAAATCCATGGTGAGGCGAACTCCTCCAGAGAGCAGGTAGTCAGCCCCTAGGATCATATCAGCGGGCAGGTCATCGAAAATGGGAACGATGGCTAGGAACTTGCTTCTGGCTTTGGTTTGAACATACATGTCAAGTGCACCTACAGTAATGCACAACCACTGAGGCCACATAGGGTTGTCTCAGGCCATAGTTCGAAATTGGCTGGAGGCATGCCATTCATTCAGCGCTGTGCGCGAACCTTTAGTTTGCAAGAGAGCCATAAGTGCGCAGATGCTGATGATGCGAACCGGTAGTCTTAAAAGCGGCGACGTTTGGTGGTGCATGACTTGATATCAACCATCTGTTGGCGTAACTCAGAACCGGTCACTGAAACTGGTTGGGAGGTCCTCACTCTGTGATGCCGAAAAGCACAAGTCGCTTCCGGTGTATGGTAAATGGTAGACGGTCAAGCAGTCTGTCGCTGAGCTGCAGAGTGCAGTTGCAGCCTGGAGGAGGTTCCACTCTCGAGCTCCCCCTTCGTTATTTCTCTGGCTCAACATGCAGGCTTTGTGCGCTTATCCGGCCGAAAATAGCCATGAGCCTGCCAATCCATTCTGTCTAATAACGTTCCCTGACACCTTCATACTTTGGCCATGCCTCTGCAGCACCACGCAGGTGGTCGATGGCCACCAGCCATTTTTTATTTTTTAATAAAGCATGACTCAAGCATTACTAATATGGCAATAATAATAAAGCATGACTAATATGGCAAGGCAGCCGGCCAGAGCAGATAGCACAGCAGCCTGAATATTGTGGAAATTTTGGGAGAGTTTATTTATTTATTTATGATACCTCAAAGGCCCCTAAAGGAAGGGGTTTTACATGAGGGGCAAGGGTATGCAAGAGTTCCTTCACGGTGCTCTTGTATGAGTCGCATGGTTAGCCAGAGCATGTATCTGCGCTGTGTGCTGACAGCTCTCGTAATCATGGTGACAGAATCTACAGCAAAGGACGCGTGGACGACGTCCGTTGGAGGCTGATGGGTGAGGGAGTTTCGGTCACGGGATCTATGCCATTGGGAGCGTAAACCACATTCCCGGGCAAGAGGAGTCCGTGTGGTGTCTTGGCACGATGTGATATCGCAGCACCGCGGAAGGAAAGTTGAGCTGCGAGAAGGCCTAAAAGCCTTCCCGGATGGCGTTCACAGTGCCAAGAGGTTGAGATGTGAAGAAACGGTATAGACGGCATCCCCAAACTGCTTGGTGCAGTGGCAGGTAGGCGGGTTTCATGACCGAGGAAGCATGGATGTCTTTTCATGTATGGCAGGTCCCGGACTCCGAAAACGCTGGAGTGCAGGTGGTGTCTGCTTTAACTCTTTCGTTACCACGCCTACTCAAATCAAGCACCGGTGATTGACGCTTTGGATTGCCAATTTTGGCATGTTGAGTTTGTTTCTGATGCATCCAGCACTTTCTAGTTGTTAGTCCAGCCACTCAGCTTTCAGAATCAATTTGAGTTTGTCTGACTTGGCAGTCTAGTAATTTTTGACAGACTGTTCTGTAAACTGATGTGCATGTGTTCTTGAGAAAATGCACTTGGCTGGCAAACTTGACAGAAGTGCGTGCCCCTCATAGGTCTGCTGCAGTGACATCAAAGTTCTATCACCAGAACCCCCTACTTGAAGACAGCACAGCAGCCTAGCATGCAATGACAAAATTTGGTTAGAATGATGATACCAGATCAATCCCACTTATATATTCACTTATAGGAGCAGTGACACCAAATTCGGATTCGAGATGTGGCGTTCATTTGATTGATTGGTACGCACGCACAAGTTGTTTTAGTGAAGTATGAATTGCGGTCATTACATAGAAGTTATTCTACTTCAAGCGCAAAGAGCGTCCAAACCTCATCACTGCGTTACCGGCCATGAGACATGGACAGTATTTTGACGTGTGTCATCAAACTCCTAGGCCACGCCTCAAGAACCGAGTGGCAATGAGGGAGCAGAGCTGATGTCGACATTTCTAGTGTTTTCATCGCGGTGCCTACATCTGGTGGCGATGCCTGGCAACGGCTGCTCTTGCTTTGTTTCGCTTGCTTTATGCAGCACATTTGTGTGAGTCCAGCGTCTTCTTTGTGTCACTTCGGTTGATTTGTCGTGCGATCGTGATTGTGACTGTGATGATTTAAAGCTACGGTTCCTGTGAACAAGTAGCACGCATGGAGCGTTCGTATGTCTTACCAGCCAGCGTGGCTTAGCCGTGTGTCTAGCCGTGTGTCTCCTGCTGCCTCGTTGTTGCTCAGCCCGGCTTCGATTTCAGAATCACAATATAGTAGAGGATCGAACCGAAAATGATTCACCATGCCGTGAATTACTGGGATTGGATAGCCCTCGATGTTTCCAGCGTTGCTTGTGGACACTGATGACGCCGGCGACGACATTTGGGTAGCGCAGACAGGGCCTATATATGTGCACGCTGAGCAGACGAAATGTCAACTGAAAATCGTGTCACCATTTCATGTGGCCACATGATTAGATGGGGTGGGACCGCGGGAGGTGATCACTTGGCAGCACTGGCTGCGCTGAATATTGGCAGGCCTTGCAGCCATTTTGAATGTTTCGATATTGGTCTTGTATTAGTCTACTATTGTTAATTCAAAGTCGAAGGGACCTTTGAATTTTGTTGGAATTATCAAGAAGTTTGAATCATCAGAAGTTCTCACATAGATGACTCTGGGTGAGATGGCCCCACACACTCAGGCAACAGCGGCGACGGTGAAAGGACGCACGCTAACCTACTGTCTGCACTTTTTGCAGATACCGGCATATCGTCAAAAAAAGTGACCTGGACAGCGCTATCGAAACCACCATCTACCTCAGCCTGCTGCAGTTTCAAGCTGTTATCAAGTTTGTGCTGGGGGCGTTGTCTCTTTGCAACTGGCTTCACTTAGGCAGCAGCGGCGACGACGAAAGGACGCACGCTAACCTACTGTCTGCACTCTTTGCAGGTTGGTTAACTTTCATATTGAACATTATATGCACCTAGTTTCGTCGCTGCTGCTGCTGCTGCTGCTGCTGAAGTTTTATTGGGCATTGTAGTCACAACAGTGTTTTTCTTTCTAATCTTCAAACTTTGCCTCTTGCTTTGTGTGCACAAGAGCATTTTAGTGCAATTTTTACTTGAAGTGCTTGAAACCATGGGGGATAAAAATTCGGGCGACATGGGCAATATTGCGGCGACCCTTGCTGAGAGGCAGCCTAATAGCATGAAAGAGGTCGTGAAATTTCTAGGTGATCTGGTGGGAAGACTTGACGTGTTCTCGACTGAAGTTAAATGTTAAATAGCTAAGGTCGCTTCCTCGAACACTGAAATAGTCACTGAACTTGGAAGTGTTCGAGATGCTATTGCTTTCATGGATGAGAGCTTTGAGCTCTTTAGGACTGACGTGGAGGCTTTTCGCAAGGAGATTGACGTGGTAAAGGCTGAGAGTGCGCAGTGTCGTAAGGAAAACGAAGAACTGCGAAGGGACCTGAAAGAAGCTAGACTGGAAATTGTCGAGCTGAAGCAATACAGCCGAAATATGAATATTGAAGTCCAAGGTCTTTCGCTAATCGAAAAAGAAAACTTGGGGAAAACTGTCGCAAACATCGCCAAGTGCTTAGAAACTGATGTCACAGATAACGACATTGACGTCGCGCACCGTGTACTATTGAAAGATAAAAAGAAATCGAATGTGGTCGTCAGATTCCTCACCAGAACGACGCTGAGACAAGATGTTGTCCGCAGCAAAAAAGATTAAACTAGATGGCACTCGTCTTGGTTTTGACAACATTAGCCCTGTATATATAAATGAACACCTGTGCATGGAAATGAAGGTTCTGCTCAGTAAGGCGCGGCAAGCAAGGCGTGAAAGAGAATGGAAATATGTATGGGTATCACAGGGCAGGATCTTTATGCGGAAAGCAGACAGGACATCTGTTTTAAATGTAACTTCTGAGGCAGATCTGGCTAAAGTAGTCTAGCTTGATAGTAGACTTATATTTCTGCTGTGAACAATGGCAATGTATTCCAGCATTTCTGAATTGAACTCGTATGTAAGTGGCCGTCATAGGCAGCCCATGACATTCCTTCACATTAATATGCAGTCAGCTCATACGAAACAAGAAAACTTTCTTTTGTTTCTTGATGAGTTCAATTTTTTCTTTTCCGTTATGATGATGACTGAAACTTGGTACCGTAGTGAAACAGACGTGTTTTGTATTGACGGATATAATGTTGTGTACCAAAATAGAAAATTGAGAATTGGTGGTGGTGTATGCTTGTGTGTCAAAGCTGAAATAACGTATGAGTATTGTGAAGATCTGTCTCTGTGCACCGATGACCTTGAGGCGTTAACTTTACAGTATCACAACTACATTTTTGTTGCAATGTACAGGCCACCAAGTGGCAATTTAGATTCATTTATTGAATATTTAGAAAACCTATTTTCTGTTGTAAACCAATTTAATTACAAACTAGTGCTGGGAGGTGATGTTAACATAGATATGTTGAGCGACACACATAAACAGATGAGACTTTCAGACCTTCTTGCTTCTTTTTTCTTAACAAACGTAATTACCATTCCAACACGTATTACTGATACCACTTCTACTCTATTAGACTTGTTTATTACGAGTAGTACAAACAGTACATTACAGGCAGGCGTCCTGCGTGCCTCGATAAGTGATCATTTGCCCATATATCTAGTCATAGAAAATATCACCAGTGTTAAGGAGTCAAATCCTTCCTGCCGTTCAGTTTCAACAAATTAATCCGCGAACGCTATCTTCTTTTAGAGAGGAAATTCGAACTCTCAATTGGAACAACGTTCTATCTAGTTCTTCTGTTGATCTTGCTTATGATTGTTTTATTGATACTCTATGTTCTGTGTATAAAAAACATTTTACATATAAAACTTTAAAGAGACCAAAACGGGCGCGCAAACCTTGGATTTCTTCCGCAATACTCAATATGATAAAAGAAAAAAATAGGTTGTATCAAGAGTTTCTGATAAAGCGAGACCCGGATAAATTTAAAGATTTTAAATTATACAGAAATAAACTCACTAAACTACAAAAACAAGCTAAACGCGATTATCACTTCAAGATGTTTGACGGTGTAACTGATTTTAAGCAATTATGGAACAAACTTAATGCTATTATATCTACCAAACAAGTGCCTAATGATATTAGTGACCTGGTGATCGAAAATAAATTATAAAAGGCCGCAGTACTAGCAAACAAATTTAACGAGTACTTTATTTCACTAGTTGACAGTAGTCATAATTGTGATTCATCAGGTTATTTGCCTACTGCTTTAAATAATTCTGTGTTTGCTAATCCTACAGACGCGCAAGAGGTCATCAGCGTTTTTCAGCATTTCAAATTGAGTAAAAGCGAGGACATAGATGGCTTAAAATTATAACCTTTAATATACATTTTAGATCTCATATGCGCCTGCTTAGTACATATTTATAATCTCATGTTCATCACTGGGCTGTTTCCTCAGAGAATGAAAAACGCTAAAGTAACGGTTATATATAAGGGTGGGGACAAAAGCAATTTAGTAAACTACAGACCAATTTCGATTTTACCAGTTTTCTCTGAGGGGCATGAAAAACTTATTTTCATTCGGTTATCAAATTTCATTAATAAACACAACATTATTACGCCGTCAAAGTACGGTTTTCAGTCAGGCCTCTCAACCGAAAGTGCCTTACTATACCAAAAGGAATTGATTTTAAGAAATATAGAAGCGAAAAACTTACCCTAGGAATATTTCTAGATTTCTCGAAAGCTTTCGATAAAATAAATCATGATATTTTACTAGAAAAATTTCACTTTTATGGAGTTCGCGGTACCGTTTTAGCTTTAATAAGAAGCTACTTATTTAATAGGAAACAATGTGTATCAATCAATCGAGAGCTATCATAATCCATGAACGTTAAGAATGGCGTACCTCAAGGTAGCATTTCGGGACCCCTATTATTTAATATTTTTGTCAATGATAATGTACGTATTGACAGCTCTGTAGGATATGTAATCTATGCGGACGATACTAGTATATTTTTTTCTGGGAGAAACGGCTGATGACCTCATTGTTTCTGCTAATGAAATACTAAATAAAATATATGCCTGGACTGTGGCAAATTCTCTATGGCATTAATTGCTCTAAAAGCAAGGCTGTACCGTTCCGTGCGAAAGCCAAGTCATTTGAAACGTCTCACAAACTAATACCTTATAACATTAAAATTAAACTTTGTCAAACAGTTAAAACTCTCGATGTCCGTTTTCACGAACATATGACATGGAATTACCATGCAGAACACATTAGTTCACAAACTTTGTAAAGTTCTAGGTGTGTTGCGTCGATGTCAGAACATACTACCTGTGAAACAAAAAATATTAGTGTACAATGCTCTTTTTTCTTCACATTTACACTATTGTCATCTGGTCTGGTCTACAGGCTCTAAAGCATCTCTAAAGAACCTGGTCGTGTTACAAAAGAATGCCTTGCGGTGCATTGAAAGTGTATTCTATAACGCACACACTGCTTCAATATTTACAAAATATAGAATTTTAAAAATTACCTGTTAATTTGAATGCCAGCTTCTGTCAGCTTTTAAATCAGGAATACAGCGAGGAAGTATCCTTTAACGCACCTTGGCCACCTTGCAACCAAATCCTGCCAGTCGCGTTACTCGGTGTACGGAGACTTGGCACGTACCGTGTCCTCGCACAAACTATGGATTTGAAACACTACGTTACCGCCTTCCAAGTGTAATGAACAAATGGAAACTAATAACTGATAATCTGCGTATATTGTCTAAAACTGAAATGTTAAATCGGATGTGCTGATTGTGATGTAAATGAATGTTGGGTGATATCTGTAATGGTTATTCAGTTTTTATTTTTCATGCATTGCTTTGTTATGAATATTTTTCTATGTATTTTAGAGTTATGATTCTATTATTTGCTGTCATGGGCCACATGAGTGTTTCTTTTTGTATTGTCGCTTTCTGCTGCCTGTAATTTTTGTAATTTTTTGTAAATTTGTAGTTTAGATATTTTTCTGGGTGAAGGGGCCAGTCAAGCTGTGAAATGCAGCTTTTTTTCCCTTCGCACCAAACCACGTACACAGTGTATTTTTGTGTACTTGTCACGTGGTTGAACAAACTCGAACTCAAATTCAAACATTATAGACATTGATTTCATTACATTTGAAAATTTTTCAATTACTTTTGTACCCTAACTGCACGCAATGAACAGAAAGCAGAAGTGCAAGGTCGGCAAGTTTGTTGGCTATTTACTGCTGATCAGACCTTTTAAGCAAATCGTGAATTGGCAACTGCTTCTTTGCTATAGGTATGTGCCTTCAGCACTAAGCTCTCTATACCAGTTGAGAAGCATCACGATTTAGCATGCGTGTTCTTTGTTTCAAACATTAAGCCTTCTTCCTTGAAAGCCTGAGGTGCTTATTTTTCATTTTTAGACTGTTAGGATTTGATAAGCACGCAAATATTTAAGTAATAGTGGGAAAGCAGCAGGTATTTTCTGATATGGCAATGCAAAAAGTATGAAATAACCGAATGATGGAATTCCAATAAGGGGCTTTTAGATATACTGAAAGAATAGAGGGCCAACCAAAAAAATTAATTTTGTTTTAAAATAATTGAAAGTATGATTTATCAGAGTTGGAATTATCGTGAGTCTACTGTATATTAATTTGTACCGCTTTAAATTATTAGTATCGAATCGTTACTATGGATCTATAACTATGGGTTGATGCAAAAAACGTGACATGCTTGAAGTTCCTGTCACTGCTCCTTTAAAACGTATGATGAAGTAATTGAATGTAAACATTCGACAGAAGTCTGTCTGGTTGGGTAGCAATTTTAACCAATATTGAACCGTTCTCTTGGAACCCTTCCCCCCGTGTATGCACACGGACTACGCTCCGGGAAAAACT